GCCATTGCCGCGTTAGATAGGGAAGCTTTGCGAGAGAGTGATCAGAATATATAAGGGTACAAAGGCCGAGTAAACTGTCACGGCAGAGAAGCAGTGACACTGGTATCTATTAGTACGGAATCGGAGTCTGTATAGGAAGGCGAAATTGCTTTGCGGAAGTGGCGATTGTATATTATATTGTGAGACAAACAATGGTGTGTAGTGTATGTGTATAAAGCCAGAGAACGCGATGAAGTCAGCGAATAGCAGAGACGGTGCAGGGGAGGCAGCACCCGGAAGTACACAGTCTCAACAGAAAGGCTCACCGAAGACCCAGAAGAAAGCTAAACCCTCAGCGCAACCGCTGCGAAGGTCCCGTCGGATTATCAGTAACAAGACAGACGGCATCGTGGCTGGTAGTAGTGTGGTGGATGTAGTAGAGATCTCTGAGGATGCTCCATCTATAAATAGCGCTGTAATAGTATCGACAGGTGCAGTTGAGGATGCGCAATCGAGCGACGACTCTGATGTGCCACTAACTAAGAGTCGGCGGCGCTCTATAGTGAATGTGATTGTAATAGAGAGTTCCTCCGATGAAGCCGATGACACACGTGGGGTCTGTGACAACGGTTCAAAAGTAACCAATGTATGTCAAGAGGATAGGGAGCTAAGAAGCAAATCGGATAGCATTGTAGTGAGTGGTGTAGATGCCAAGAGTGCAGGTGAGAGAGACGCGCACAGTGGTAGTGCCGCGGATAATGGCGTGTCTATGGCTGAGAATGGCGTGTCTGACGATGACTCTGGTGGACTCGGAAGCAGACGCAGGGCTGGACAAATAAAGAGGAATAGATTGGAAAGCTCATCCGGGGAGTCTGCGGTTGTAAGCGATGCTGTAGTGATTACTGGTGAGGAAATCAGCAATGGAGTGAGTACAGGGAAAGCGACTGCAAAGCGGCAGGGCAAGAGAACGCGACAGATAAGACATCAGATAGACATTTCATCGGAGGAAGCGGAAAGTGTGAGCGATACCAACATGGCAAATGGTCACAAAATAAGCAAAAGCGCTGGTAACAAAATTAACACAGCCGAGACAAGGAGAGGCGGTAAACGCAGACGGAATGAGTCAGAGGATAGTGATTATATGCCGTCGCTGGAGAGTATTGCCAAATTACCGCGTGGATTAATAGCGACACCTTCACGAGGTGAAAGGCCTGGTGATTTATATATTTA